GATGATCTGTTTTGCATACAGATTGAAAAGGTATGGAGACAAAATACATCCCTAACAGCCACATTTTAGATAGATAGATAGATAGATAGATAGATAGATAGATAGATAGATAGATAGATAGATATAGTAAATTCCAAACCTAGGGAACTTTTGTAAGATAATGAATGATTACTATTATTTTATAGAATTGTAAGGTTAAGTAAGGGCTTATTGTTAATGACTTCCTTTGTCATTGATTGAGACTTTTCCATACGGATGGGCAGAAGCGTGTGAATTGGGTGTTAGCATATCCACACGGAGATTGGCTACTTTTGCCATTAAATTCAGGAGGTTCAGCATGCTCAAAATTGGAGAATCTCACCACCAACAAAGAAGAAAAACAATGCAGCATGCCTTCAGGCTAGAGACTTTTATGCCAGCTAGACTCTCAGCAGCAGCAGCAGCTATGGCTGAAACAAACAACCTGAAATCGAGCATAAGGTGGAGCTTACCATGGAACTGCTGCCCCATGGAACCAGAGTTTGCCTATGTTTTTTTTGAGACTTGGGAAGATAGCCAAAATTGGCAGAGCTGAGAGCTTTGTAACACTTGCCTAAAGCCATGAGGCTCAAAGCTGATATGCTTGAAAGCACATTTTGGAAGCTGTTCAGACTGATTAATCGCATCTTGCTGCCAACCTGAATTATAGCCTTTTGACTTCCCTTATATAAGTCTGTGGGTCTACGAGCTATCTCAACTGATTTCTGACCCAGTATAGCAGTAAGTTTGGTGTTGGTATTAGTAGAAATAGGTTCTAGAAATGGAAGACATTTCTGACTTCATGGGACTTAGTTTTGTGTTGAGGGTGTTGTTATTAGGGATAGTTCCTCTCTGTGGAGTTAATAGAGATCAGATATGGCTGTCCCCTTTTTGCCACTGTTCTTTTTACAATATCATAATTTTTGACATGTTTTTTATGCTTAAAAAGCTGTTTTAAATTATTATATGCAAAATTATTTTATAAATATTTTCTGATCATGTCAGTATCTGGCTTTTAAAAGTTGAACCAATGAAATTTTCAAACGCAAACAAGTTGATGATATAATATAGTCAGTATATTATAATATATTCAGATATTTTTTCACTTAAAACTTTAGGTGATGAATTTATATTATAAATATTTCAATTGTAAATTGTTAAGACTATATGTTATACAATATACTAAAAATACCACCTGTTTATGAGAGGCATTTGTCACTGTGGAAAATATCCTTTACTTTTGGTTTTGACATCCAAGCAGTTAATTTCTATGAGTTACATAATGTTCAGTTTGCCCTGGTCACCAAGACTATAGATATCAGAGTCTTCTAAATTGCACTTCTGTGTCAATAAAAATAACCAAACATATGGTTCTGTGATTTCAACATATTTATATATGCATCTCCTTTGATATTTGTAGCACAGTAATTTCCAGGCAATAGTAGATACTTGATTCTTTTTTTTATTTTTATTTCAAGTACTTGCCATTTGTCTGAAAGTTGGACAATGACTAAGGATGACAGAAGAAAAATTTGTGTTTTTGAGTCGTGATGCTGGATTAGAGTAGTAAATAATTAATGCATGAACTTCCAAAAAGAACAAACAAATCTGTGTTGGAGAAAGTGTGACCAGAGTGCTCTTTGGAACCAAGAATAGTGAAGCTTAATCTCAGATACTGTGGACACATAACAGGAGGGATCAATCCATGGAGAAAGACATCATATTGGGAAAGGTGGGAGGCCAGAGAAAGAGAGGAAGCCCCTCAATAAGATGAATTGACACAGTGACTATACCAACAGACTCAAGTATATTGGGTATGGTAATGACGGCACAAGATAGGTCAGGATTCATATCCACTCTTCACAGGGTCACTATGAGTCACAGTCAATACAACAAACAGCATAAACAACAATAGCAACTTGACTTTTAATTAAATTATTAAATGAACAAGGGATGTGCCATAAAGAAAGATAGAGGAATCCTAAGTAGAATGATAGAATGGTGCATATAATGTTTATGAATTTTGAATCCTACTTCCCCTTCTATTAGAAAAAGAAACTACTGGAGTGAAATTATGAAAGAGCAGCATTAAGAAGTTAAAGAAATGTTTTTGCTTGTAATAAACAGTGATAAATGATAAATGCTTGGATTAGCTCGTTTAATGTTTATTAAAGACCCAAGTGAAAAATTCCTGCCCTCAAAAAAATGCATAGTCAATACAGTTGAGTATGGTGTAGACAGAGATAAATATCATTAAAACATATAAATATTCTAAGTGTGTTGGACAAGATACTCAGAGATTGAGTTGTTGGTGTTGATGACTGACATAGAGTTAACTTTAGTAGCAACTCCATGTGTTCAAAGCAGGTCTGCTTTGTAAGGCTTTCAAGGCTGTCACCTTTAGAAGCAGATTGCCAGGTCTTTCGGACATGCCTTTGTGTGGACTGGAGCTACATACTGTTCAGTTAATATTCAATTGCATAACCTTGTCTGCCACCCAGAGACTTCTGATGACTAAATAAACCATATGAAAGTCTACCTTTTCTCATTTGCACTTTATATATTTGGCTTCAAATTCATACGGACGCTCAAGACTCAGAATCTCCTTGGCAAGTAAATATGAGAAAATTATTTAACTCTTCTATTTGTAAGGATTCATAATGGTATAGATTGGTGGAAGAAGCAAACTACTTCTGGAAAGGAAACCTGTAGCCAAAGAATTGAGAGACTCAAAAAACATTTTTTGCCATTTTCCCCCAGAAGATGTTTGTCTTGCTTTGTATTACTATTTACTATATATATATACCTTTTATTTAATGGCATATAGGATTCCATCTTTCTTTTTTTCCCCTCTGTACTAAAATTTTCTAATCATCATCTCTGTGAAACTGCTGAATCTAACCCCTCTGGTCCACTCTGAGTAATTTTGAGATTAGTGAAATCAAGGAAGGAGGTGAGAAGGAGAAGAGCAATTAGGGAATTAAATGCCAGTGGCCATGAACCCCCAGTGTGATCTATTTTCTTTCATACACTTAAGTGAGGTGAGAAAACATCAAGTCATATCTTGAGGGAATTATGTTCATTTTGATTTAAAAATCAAATGTTATAGATCTTACCTGAAAAGTTTTTATAATCCACTAAGTCAAACATAACAACAGCAACAGCTGACCACGTGATGATGAGAGCAATGACCAGGAGCCAGGCGGCTGGAGAACTGAATGTCGTCACTATGTCTTCTGTGACAGTCCTCTTCAGCACTTTCCCAGGGGGTTTGGGCACTGATCCATTTTTGCTGTCTATCACAGTTGTGGTTGTAGATGCATTTCCTAATCATTTGGAAAGAAGTTCAATTTAGAAATGTAGGTTAAATATTCAAAACCCTTATTGCCATTGAATCACTTCTGATCTAAAGAAAAGAGCAAAAGTATAGCATTTCCCATGGATTTTCCAAGACTGCAAATCCCTGTGGAAGGAAGCTGCTACATCCTTCTCACATAGACACCTGATGGATATGAAATTGCTGGGTCATAGAGAGCCCTGGCATCATAGTATGGTACATGTTGGGCTAGTAACTGAAAGTTTGTCAGTTGATCACTGAAAAAGGAAACAATCATTTTCTATTAAGATTTATAGTCCCGTAAAGCCACTGGAGGATTGGAATCAGAATCAACTCAACAGTAAGCTTTATTTTATGTTTTTTTTCTGTTTAATTATCATGAAGTCATGTTTATCTATCTTGCCTTTTGTTGTTTATGCTTTCTGTTTGAACCCTTCAAAAAATGTTGACATAACTGCTAACGCTATAAGTTCAGTTCATATAACCACTAACTATTAAGTAAGGTGGGGAAAATAAAAATACTCCCTGCAAATATTCAAGTTAATAACGTTTTACCTTTTTATTTTATTTATAAAAAGATGCTTTCTTATTTATAAAAATAATACAAACAAAATAAAATGCTCTAGTTAGGACAAAGGAAACACACATTGGATATGTTAACATAATTAAATGCAAGCAATATAACATTTTTAATTGAGACTTTACTGTAAGTTTATAGAGCTTGGAATTCCATTCATTCATTGTTGTACATTTTTCTCCATGCTCCCCTCCTCCCAGTTCCTTTTTCCTTTGGAAAAAAGTTCTTTCATTGTTATACAGTACCCTCTCCTCCCTCAACCACTTTACTATGCAGTTCGTATTCTGGCTTCTTATCATACTAATAATAACTAATCATATATTCATTTTATACAGTTCTCGCCATCATCTGTTTCAATAACATGAACAACAAGCAAACTTAAGAGTGGCAAATCTATAGCCTTAATTTTAAAGAGTAAAACACTGAGGAAGATCACGAGCAGTAAAATTATTTCATTAAGATTTAAAAATCACTTTGGGAAGAAATTAAAAATAGTGACAATGAGCATCATTTCTCTTCTGAAAATTTATTTGATTTTATACTCCCAGTTCATGAACTCAATTTATTTGAAATGTTCAAAAGAAGAAAAAATATCTTTAAAAAGCAGATTTCACAGACTGTACTTGAAATGATGCTCAATGGGAGAAAATTAGAAAAAGCTCCATATTATATCCTTTCATTGATTTTTGTGCCAAATTTCCATCACTTCTAATGGCAGTTCTGAAAATGGATAAATGATAGGAGTGCTTTGAAATCTGATTTAAGACCCAAGTGGGGCTTCAAGTGAATCAAACCTTTGGAATAATGATTTGCAGAAGAATAAGTGAATTATGAGTGTTTAAGAGCAGCCTAGCTGAAAGTTGATATGTTTCAAATATCTCATTTTTTAAAAAACAAAAACCAATAAAAACCCTTCTGAAAGATAGTCAACTATCACTGAAGAGAGAATGCCCCAAAATTGCTTGTGCACTTTGGATTCACTTTAGTGAGTTAAAAAGTAGACAGTATTTCTATCCACAATAGCTTACCCACCTGCTTTTTTATCTTCACACTGAAAGAGGAAAATCTCCCAAAATTGGCAGAAATGAATAAATTCTGGTCACATTTTTCTTAAAGACAAATTTTAAAAGAAATGTGAACTTTTATATTTCTTTTATTGATCAAAAAATTATGTTAAATCAGCAAGCAATACAAGTTTAGAATGAGGCCATTATATTTTATATTTAATAACAAAAGGACAAGAATAGAATTTTTATTTTTATTTTATGTTACAACGTTGTGAAGACATTTCTAGTATATTATTTTAAATATATCAAAATTATAAAGTTAATACTGACCTTTTTTCCTTTATCTTGTCTTTCCATTCTCAATCTTTTCATTTAGGAGTTAGTAGCAAAGACTCAAAGGTGATAAAAATATTACCTTGCGTATATAAATGAAAAGTTGTAGTGACCTAAAATAATCGGAAAGCTATCCTGCTTAAGAAAATGATGTGTTGGCTATGGAAACACATGAAGTTTTACCTTTGATTTTCCTATTAAAATTGACTGCCTTTGCCACACAGAGCCAAGAGGAATAAATTTGAGGGGGGAAATTGCTTTCTTTGACAGCTGGTCAAGATAGATGCAAAGAGAAGAGTGTGTAATCTGAGATTATTTAATGTTTGAGAAGCACTTTGAAGATGACAAGAGCTAGTTATTGACATGGCTGAAAAAATGAGAAGCAAATATTACTGAGCAATTTGATATGCGCAATGCATCTTGAAAGTTAGCATCTCAGAATTAGAGCAGAGCAGCTAGAATATGCCCTCACTTTCTAATTCCATTCCTTTTGATTTCATACAAATTATTTTAATTATCAGACAGTTCAAAAGAAGTTAGGGACTGTCTGAATGACCATGTTACTCTGGCCCAAAAAATAAAATTAAGAGTTTCTTATCTGGAGATTCCAAAGAGTATCCTTGCAGTCAGGTTATACACGGAATAATACATCATAAGTCTCCTGATAGAAGTCACTTAACCTCATCACGCCTTATTGATCAGATGAAAAAAACTGTCAAGTGCAAGTACAAGTCTATTCATCATTTATTAATCCTATGGACACAAGTAATAAACTCTTTACCATAATTCTTAAGGGAGATATTTATATTCTAGGATGATATAAATGGAATAGTTCTTTTTTCTTTCCATCATTGTTAAGTGCTGTCGAGTCGTAGATGACTCATAGCAACCCTATGAATGAAAGACCTGAACATCTGTATAACTTTTATTATTTCTCCACATTCATAGAGTTTCTGGAGGCAAGCTAGTTTGGAAGTGGATGCCACTTCTGCTTCCAAGCTTGTTTTAATGGAAGAGCTCTACCAAACACTGCCCACCATGTGTGGACACTAATTCACTTCTAAATTTTGCATTCAACCATGTAATGTGACTTTTCAAATACTCTAGTATTGTTTCTCCACTAAGAAAGAGAGGATGTTTGTGCCACCAATGGCATGATTAAAATATACATTATTAACAATAATAATATTGCAAATAGACCTGTTGTGTACCATCTGATGGAACCAATTCACAGCTGACCATCTAGTGGATTTTTAGAGACAGTGAATTGCATGGGAGGACATTGCTCATCTCTCTGTGCAGAGAAGTTTGTGGATTCGAACCACATACCTTGGGGTTGAAAGCATAATTCCTTACCACTAAGAGGCTATGCTGCCATCACAAAGGCATGCCGTTCAAATCCACCAGCTGTTTCGTGGAAGAAGGATGGGCAATCTCGTCCTGTGTAATTTGAACTGCCTTTGAAAATCAAAGGCGGCTGGGATGGTCAGCTAGGAGTTGGTTCTGATTTGACGGTAGACAGCAATAACAGCAAGCCACCAGAACTCCCTTCAAGATTACTCCTTACTATATATTCCTAAAAATTTCTTACTCAATAAAAACGTTGAGGAAACTATTGAAATAATCCTATGGCAATTCAAGTTAAAGACTCACATGCTTTGGATAAGTTGCCTGAAGGGACTGGTCCTTGGAGAAGAATGTCATGGAGAAGGGTGCAGGGACAGTGCAGGAAAGAAAGACCCTGGATGATACAGATTGACACACTGACCCAAGCAATGGGGGCAGAAGTGTCAAGGACAACGTGATTGGCTCAGGACCATGCAGGGTTCAAAGCCACTGTGCACAGGGTTGATATGAGTCACAAGTATCTCAATGGCACATTACAATAACAACAACAGTAGGTCACTATGAGTCACATGTGACTCGATTCCAAATAACAGCAACTTCTAAAAAAAAAGTTGTGTACAAAAAAAGTTATGTACTAAAAAAAAATGACTGTGTACAATATATAGTCTCTCTCTCTACACACACACACACACACACACACACACACACACACACATTCACTCTTTTGAGTTGATTCCAGCTGAGAGCAATGAGCAACCCTTCTCTGGGTTTCCAAGGCTCCTCTTAACAATAAAGAGACTGCTCACCCTTTTCTCCCAGAGGCTGGTGAGTTGGAACTGTCCAAGTTGCTCCACCATTTGAGTAGTTGCAACACACTATATATACCACACAACCAGGATGAAAATTGCTTTTATCTCAGACCCATAATTGCTCCTGTGCCCGTTTTAACTCAGCAAAAGCTCTTTTTCTCTTTCACATTTTCAGGATATGTGAATTGTAATACAGATTTAGAAACCATTTTGGCCATTGATCCTGTCCGAAAGATATATATTATAAACTTTATTCAAGACTTCCTCTTCACTTTTACCTCCACCGTTATAATGATATTGTTGTGTTCTGTTGAATTGTAACCATTCCCTAATGATAATCCAGTGGGTTTTCAGGAGCAGTAAACTACATAGGAGAAGATTGTCCATCTTGCTCCCACAGAGTATCTTGCATTGGCAGTACAATCCTTACCACTAAGCCACCAGGGCTCCCTACACTTAGAGTAAGTTAATAATTTTCTTAATTCTTATTAGAAGTCTAGGAGTTGGACCCCACTTCTAATATCAACCATAGCAATAGGTCTTTAAAACAAGCTGGAACCTCTTCCTTATGGCAGTGAAAATATAGGACAATCAGAATTCTCAACAATTTTAATCTGTTAACTGGGGGGTTGACTTGGTAGCCATCTGGTAGGCTGCACATGGAATCTTCTATGTCGACACTAGGAGTTTCCTCTAGAGAGGCAGAGTCCAGATAATACCAAGAAGCAGCCTGGCTTGGAGGTAGATGAAGCTTCAAACTTTGCTAGTAGAAGTACAAACTGCTTTGATTTGATTATGTTTGCCTTACCACCAGCCATGAGTCTTAACTGACATTATTTTGTTGTTACGATTGTAGTGAAAGTTTACAGAAAGGTTGTTTTCATTCATTCATTGTTATACATTTTCCTCTCTCTTCTGCTCAACACCCTCCCCAAGTCTGC